CAGACTGTCTGCCGGACGCTGGGACAACAACCCCACTTCCTGTGCTGTGAACTCTGACCCCCACAGACAGTCTGACCAAAGCTTTGTGATCATCAGCTGATAACAGGGCTAAAGAAGCGCTCAGACACCAAACATCTGACAGAGACATCGAAAGATTTCACAGGAATCAAAAAGCAGTTTGTTGAGATCCGAGCGAGCATGCTCCCGCCAAAAAACTAAAAGTCACGAAAATATGTGTCATGAGAGCCGCTGTGTCAGGTGTGAAGACCTGGTGGTCCACAGCTGCACACGGAAAACACAACCCACACAAACAGGACACACCTGAAACACGCGCCTCAGACCCACAGCTGTTTCTAATGTCGTGGCTCTGTGTCTGTCACATCCACGCTGCACACAGAAGCTCCCACCCAGGTCCACCCGCGTCAAACTCAGTGGAACAGCTCCCACGGCGTGTCCACCAAATCTGTGCTCACGTTTCAGAGAACCCTCCTTTCATCAGTAACCCCAGGAGGAGGAGAGCGGGTCATACTCACAGCGCACAGCTGGCAGCGCCACGCTGATGAAGAGGAGCGCTGTCAGCGGGATGAAGCGCTCCGCGCACATTTTACACCTCCTGCACGCGCACCGAGAACCACGACTTCAGAGACACTCCGTGTACACGCGCACACAACTGTCACACACGCGCGCGCTCTGGTTTCTCAGTAGGACGTCGTCCCGTCGATCCGGTAACAACCAGACAACAAGCTCCGAAATGCGCCTGCGCACAGAGATTGAGAGACTGACAGAGGGAGAGAGAAGCTGAGAAAGACACACAGACACACACACACACACACACACACACACAGACAGGTGATGTTCAGGTGAGGAAAGAAGTCTCGAGCTCCATCACAGGTTTGAACAAAGGCTACAGACTGTATATAAAAGATGGAGGCGCACACCTCAACACTGGTTGGTTCCTGAAGTTTGAAAATTTGTCTTTCACACACAGACGTGAGCCAACAAGCTCGCAGTTCCTCTGGTGTCCAGCAGAGGCAGCAGTGAGTCAGTCTCCATACACAGCAGCTGTTTCTATAACACACCTGTCAGCA